GTACGTCCTGACAAGACCGAAACGACACAAAAGCTGCGCTCGGTGGATACCAAATACAGACGTTGTTTGTTCCATGATGAACGACAGCTACTTTACTTTGCACATTACACGCAGCGCAATTGTGAAATGGAATGCATTGCTAAAATGCTTTTACAACACTGTGGCTGCATAAGCTTCTATATGCCGAAGATCTACAAGAACTCGACGATCTGCAACATACGCTCCTTACACTGTGTGGAAATGGTGCGTTTGCGTAAAGATCCAACGATCGGTTCGTGTCTGGACGCTTGTTGGCCGAGTTGCTACGATTTGACTTTCCTTGTAGACGTTTTTGCAATACCGTTATGGAGTGACGAGTTCTTTATTGAAAATAAGCGCGTGCAGCGGTACAACAAGACCTATGCGCGAAAGAATATTGCGGTAGTTAATATGTACTTTAAGGAGTACTCCTTTCGCAGCAGCATACAGACGGAATTCATAGGAACCACCGATTTTTTGTGTAGGACCCGTATTAGCCACATATTGTTTAAATTTGTTAATTTTTTCATTCTTTTTATGTATTTGCAGCTGCAGTTGGTGGCCTGATGGGTCTGTTTTTGGGGTTTAGCTTCATATCAATTGTCGAGTTGGTGTATTATGCCATCATACATCCCATACGTACTTTATTGCAGTTCGAGTACTCAAGGAAGCCGGATATTTCGAAAAAGCTGATCAGATGCGACAAGTCTACTGTGTGTCGTCAGTGGTCCTCGGTTCAACGTTATAAACGCTTGCGAAAATACTTACGCTTACGTGCAATTTATGGCAGAGCTAATAAGTCCAACAAACAAAGGGCTGGTTACAAACGCTTAAGCAATAATGCCGTTAAATGTATAACGGACACTTTGAAAAAGGAACAGGACATAAGGACGTAGACTTGTGTGGTGGAACAGAGGTTGATTTGGCATTGAAGTATGCTTTAATGACAGGCGGTCAATCGGAGTGACCAATAACTTATTGAATATGCGATGGCAGTACTTACTAGATATATTTACTCATTTTCGACTTCAATGGGAACTAATGCTATTAATTTATATAATTAACACCACAGCACATTTGTATATGTGTGGGTATTACACTTAAGTCACTTTTAATATTGTTCACTTTGTGACTTCTTATGTTAGCAATATGTGTTTTCAGCTATTATTAACTTTTAAATGTCTAAAATTATGAGTATATAAACAAATGTAGTTGAAATTTAATGGAATAGTGTCGAGTTGAAACTTCAACTGCTCAGCAGTCTTTATTCGAGGTCGACACCAAAGGAACTTCCTAAAGCGACGGATAAAATGAAGATAAATCAAGATTCGGTGAAAAAGAAATATAGGAAAATTAAGTTGGCTTTGGCAGAGAGCTGTAGAGACTATTGTGACAATACAACAATACACGGGCTGAAATATATAGCCAATACCAATCTTTTGCTACGTGAAAGGTAAGAATTTAGTAGATTAAATAGAAGTGAAATGGTACATAAAGTAAGTTTAGGTTAGGTTAGGATTCTAAGTATTGATAGAAAAAAACTGAAAAAACTCTCAAAAATCGGCAAAGCACTTTGTTGAGACAGCTGATAACAATCCCTCCTAAGAGCAAGTTGTTCAGTGAAGCTTCTCCGAAGACATCCTAGTCGCAATCGTACCTCTAGATCATATTTTTGCTTTGCATGACAAAAAAAAAACAAAAAAGAAAACAAAAACACCTGGAAATTGTAATAAAAATTTCTGGGTAAATGATGTTTATAAAAGTTTGTAGGGCTGTACTTAATTATTATGCCAAATATGCGTGATTTGTCAATCAATTTGTTCCCAGCAGCTGTTCAAGTCGTAAGTAATGAATGAAAATATCGAACAAAGAGTACTTCTAGCCAAATTTCGTGTATATGATTCAAAAACCTAAGACTACGAGTGGTACAAAGTATTCAAAAGCGTTGAAAACATGCCTCTTTCTGGACGGTTTTCGACCTCTTCAACTGATGAAAATACTTAAAAGGTGAATTAGTGTTAGAGAGATGGTAAGAGCGCTCGACATCTCTCGCGAGTCCGTTCGAATGAGTTTTGGTGGATTTTGGGTATGAAATTCCCAGAAGTTCTTGCTCGACTCGTCACGATAAAGCTTTATTTTTTCTCAAAAATAGTACGATTGTGGCAGAATTTAAAGCCAAAAACGCAATCAACCACCGCCTTCACCAGATTTGGTTCCCTTTGACTTTTGTTCCCAAAACTGAAATTGCCTTCTACGGAGCGGACCCTTTTTCAGTCGATCGAAGAGATAAAAAAAAAACGCTGATCCCAAAAAGTGCTTCTGAATAGTGTTTCGAGGACAGGAAAAATCGTTGGCATAAGTGTATTACATCTGATGGGGATTATTTTAAAGGTGAATAATTAAATATTTTGCGTTTTATTTTCAATTTCTTTTATCATAAACTGACGCATGGTAGTACAAGCTTTTATTAATCTAATTGCGCTAGTTTCAGCCATTTGCGACTTTGGTGTTATACACTGTTTCTGACAAATTCCCTAACACATGGGATTTTTTGTGTTGTATTTACCATCACCATTTACTAACTTACTCTTAGCCCATTAGTCCCAAATTGTTCCTTTTGATGTGTGGAGTGGTGCTAAATAACGGGGAAAAGAGTTAAACGAAATCTTCAAATATGTATGCTAGATTTAACGGTTCTCATTTCCTTTTTATACATTTATTCTTACATTGTTCCAAAAATCTATGTTGAAATACTTACATATGTATGTCGCTTTGACCTCACGCACGCTAAACCCTACTCGTTAGGAGACAAATTGGACCGCTAACACATACAGTATGACATGATTTTGACTCTCAATATGAATATATGTACACATGCCGTCAATAAAAACGCACCACCATTTATGTAGAATATCTGTCAGCTATGTATATAATTGCTTATTTGAAACAATTTCGAGATCTAGTAGGTAATGAGAAGCTAATTATTTTTTCGAAATTGGGTTGAACACAGTTCAGTTATAGTGTTTTGATTGTGTATTTGAAAAGTTGTGCAAAATGACCAAAAAATTCGGTCATGATGAAGAAAAATGATCTCGGGAAATAGCAGCTAGAGTTGTAGTCTTTCAATTATTGTTCGTCGTTTACAGAAAAAAAAAGGGATTAATGTTGTTTTGGAGTGTAAAAAGGGATGTGATCGTCCTCGAAAATCAACTGAGAGAACCGACGACTTACTGCGGCGGATAAGTTCAAGAGACCGCTTTGAATATGATCACTACGTGGACTAAAGTGTGGAAAACATAGTTCGACGCCCAAAAGATTATGAGTTTATATGGATGTTTTGAATGGAAAGAAATCCTGTATCAAACATCTATATTATATTGGTCTTCGTCTCGAAGTTTCATTTTTAGTTGGTAGTACAGTTAATTATCCATGAATTCAAAGCTTAGATTGGCCTGGAAACTTTTCCGATTTAAACCCTATTACTCACTTATGGCACACAATGAACTGTGAAGTTGCTAAATAAAAATCAAGAGATAAAAGTCAATTGATAAATACTTTAAAACTGGTTTGGTATGGTCGCAATGGAATTCCTATCACCTCAAGTGAAATCCCAGCCTTCAAGAATTAAGACAGTTATTAAAGCTAAAGGAGGAACGACTTTTGTGCTGAACGACGACGACGAGCGTTTGTGGTGAAAATGATTTAGTCGCTTTATTAAATTATTTTAATTAACTTCACATTGTTTTCTTTTAATTAATCAGGGGTTTCATGTAATGTATATTTACGTTAATTTTTTTGTTAATTAATGCGCTATTCCTTATAAAAACCATTTCGGAGAAATATTTTTGTGGATAACTAATTTACAACTAAACATCGCCCTAATATTCTAACTTTATAAACAAATCACTCGTGCGGCCACGCCTTAGATGGTCCCAACGTTGAGTCCAATTTTCGAGCATGCGAATGACAAGTGATGTTTTGCTCCAAAGCCTAGATCGAAGCGGGATAGACTTTAGATATTATTTTAACCAAATATCGCCGAGATTATGAGCTTACGATGATTATACCGGCTTCTTCAGATTGCTCTTCGTCCTAAATGCGGTACAATTGCTTGTTTACATCCCCTTGAAAAATTGGGCCTCATCGCTAAACTAAATTTAGTTCGATTGAATGTTATTCGGGCGTAAGTCTTTCTATGTTGAAGTGCTAAACAATACTGAACATAAATAACATGACAGCTTCACACGACTGATGCGTGGTCTGTCAAAAAAAGGCTATTGAAAAAAGTACCTCCATTTTCATGCGTTAAGATAATGGGCATTGCTCGTGGCGCTGCCCACTCTAAGGTTAACTTCGTGTCCCATAATGTTCACACAAAAAAATTTAGAGATATTTGAGTCAACAGTTTGTAGATAAAATAAAACTGGAAGCATATCCATGCCTACTTTATTACTTATCCAATTTTCATTAACTTGTAGACTTCGGCGGGAAGATCAGCTCGCATGAATCATTCAATATCTAAGATATTAATTAATATTCTAAAGGTTTTTGAGGTCTTTATATTTAAGAGAATATTTTGGTGATTTATGGTAAAAGTTAATCTAAGTAATACTAAAATTACCTCAATCTTTCACAATTTCGGTTTTTAAAGAAATTTCAGTTCATTAATAATATTTTCTAGACAGCGTGAGATATGTCACACATATTTATTTCCTTTGTTCTTTTGGCGAACAAATCCCTAAAGGTTCGAGAATTTTCCCTAATAGCCCGAAATTATTTTTGAATTGATCTTGAGAATTGTTCAAAATGCTTAGTAGAACATTCGCATGAAACTATAAAAGAAATTGATGTATTTTTCTTTCAGAATATTTTTCGCAGTTTCACTTATATTAGTTGTTTTTGGAGCAGCTTTCTTCGTGAATAAGGCGTATGAAAAATGGAAATATACACCGATTATTGTGAGCATAAATGCAAGGACTACTGGAATAACCACGGATCCGTTCCCCGCAGTAACTATTTGTAACTTAAACAAGGTTTATAAAAAGAAGGTTGAGCAGATCTCAATGTAAGTTTAAAATAAGTACATATGCGTGATATATGCATACGTTATGTATAGTATGTAAATACAAATATATATGTATATCATATGAGCGGTACTATTTATTGCAAAGATTTATTACACTACCTCCTTCACACTTTTTCAGCTACTCCCCGGAATATGTAAAGATGAAATTAATATGTAAACATAAGGTGAATGCAACTATTGCCAACTCAATCACGAATTGGAACAGCTTGAACGATTTTATAAAAGAAGTAAAGACAGAACACTAGATCTTTTCACACTTGCTTTTATACTAGAATGTACTGTGAATGTATTGAAAAGTCCTTGCTGTTTTAACTTTGCCTAAAGGGGAATTATTGGCTTTTGTTAAGTTATTAAAAAATGTATGAATTCTTGCAAGTTCCCCAAAGTGAGGACCATACTTTAAAGACACGTTAGAGACCGTATTTAAATATACACCACATATGTGTGGCATTGCTAGTCTGTCGGTGCGTCGTTATAAACGTGAATTAGTCCCTCAGTTTGTGCAATATTGGTAAGCAAATTTGTATGCGTTCTTTTCTCTCCAAGGAGCAGCTCATTTGCTGGAAATGCCGATATTGGACCACTATATCATTTTGCTGTGGCATAAGCTAATCGATCAAAATGTAGTCTTTGCTTTGAAAACTTCTTTTATTTGACAAGTTATTTCTAAAAAATTTGGCACAGATTATTATCCGAATATGTTTCTCCCATGGGACCCTTACAGTATATAGCTATATGGAAAGAGCTATGAAAGAAGTAAAAGAAGTTCAATGCCATTTTGGGAGTTTCGCAAAACCATTTTTTTGGGGTGGCGATTTCGTCTATATTCAATGCTAAAAACATTCCAATATAAAGTGACTATGGCGGGGCAAGAGGAAGGGGGCTGGATATGTTAAACTAAAACTGAAAATATGTTTTTCATAATTTTGTTGCGATATGAGATTATGAGTTTATATATTTTTATACATTGAATTTATTTCCGAAATGATCTTACACATAGACCGATATTTGCGGTATAAAGCTAACCGAAAGATTATTTCCAGTTTTAGCATCAAGGAACACTAAGGTGTTGAACAGATTGAGCGATATTTTACATATTATCGATAAAATATTAGCGTAGGCACTGAGATCCTTATATTAGGTCTCTATGCTTTGTACTTATTATACTTTTTACTCTTAAATCGTGGCTAAGTTATAGCACTTTGTAATTTTTGTGGGCGTGGCAACGTGGAGATTACTCAAGCTATCGCTTGCATGCACAGATGGATGAACGGATAGTCATCCGAATGGATGATGGATAGTCATCCGAATTTCAACTCGTGTCGTAGTCCTCATAATTTTGTTATACCATCTTATTGTATATGCAGGGAGTCATAGTGAAAATGAGGCACATAATAGTGTTATCGGAAACTTGACAGTTCAAATAAAACTCAAACTGATATTAAAACAAGTAAGAAAAGGCTAAGTTCGGGTGCAACCGAAGATTTTATACTCTTGCAACTTGCAGGAATCAAAGGGAAATACCTTACGATGTAAAACGTCAACCAGAGGATCGGAATCTATTATGGTATATATAATGTATATACTGACCGATATACACAGAAGTATATATTTGGCATAAGATTTGTTAGAAAAACTAAAATCATTATACAAAATCAGTCGGATTTTAGAAAATCCTGATAATGGTTATATGGGAGCTAGGTCAAGTTTTCGCCCAATTGTACACTTTTTCGGCACAATGATATACTGTGTTGAGTAAAATATGTTCCGAAATTTTCATTGAGATAACGGAAATATTGGCCAATCATAAATATATCCAGCATAAAGTCACCAGGAAGTTCGAAAATCTTTATATTAGGTATATGGGGGCTCAGGGAAATATTGATCCGATTCCACCCATTTTAGATACACAGAATTGCTACTGCAGGAAAGAGATTCTGTCTAAATTCATATTGTTTATTTCATACATTAACCGATATTTTCGAACAAAAGAACTGGGGTCGCCATATTCGATACATAGGATCTTGAACAGTTTTGGTTGGATTTGAACATTTTTCAGTCAAAAGGTGGTAGACACGAAAGGCATTATTCATGCTTTAATGTTTAATCCCATTATTTTAGTTCTTGATTTGTATACTGGAAAGTAAAAGAATCAAGTGCAATTTAAAATTATGTTATATGGGAAGTAGGCGTGGTTATTGTCCGCTTTTACTCATTTTCACAGAATGACATAGGAATATGAAGAGAATAAAACGTTTAACATTTCGTCGAAATCGGTTGGACGGGTCTCGAGATATATGACTTCACCAAAGAAGGGACCGGTGAAACGACGCCCATCATCCAATTTTTACCCCACAGGTGCCCCTTGTTACTGCGATCGTCTGTGCCAAATTAACGTTTTATATCTTAATTTAGTCCTTAGTTATGGTATTTTATAGGTTTTTAGTTAATGGCGATTTATGGGCGGCGCTCAGCAACGAACTCGAATTTTTTTTGTAACCTGTATACCAAGTTTCATCAAGTTGGCTTCAACTGCCTTATTCGCCTGACTTATTGAAAATATTAAATGTAAATAGCTAAGCTCATAGAAGGATATTTCAGAAACTTACTTTAACAACTGTTTGAAGGATTGAATAAAACGTTGGCAGAAGTGTATTGGGGTCAAGGGGTTCTACTTTCATTTTGAGATATAAATTCAGAATTTTAAAATTACTTGTATGAACAAAAAAGGTCTTACCTTTTTTGTCCATCGTAGTGTATATTCATATTTTAAATCTTGAAATTTTAAACCACTTATAAACTTTATTCATTCACAAGAATTTTTTTATATTTTTTTTATTTTTTTTTTTTTTTTTTTTTTTTTTTTTTTTTTTTTTTTTTTTTTTTTTTTTTTTTTTTTTTTTTTTATAAAAGCAAGTGTAAATTGCTCTACATTTATTACTGATAATAAAAAATAGATTGAAGTAAATATGTTTACTAATAATAATTTCTATAGATTTCTCAACCATGCAGGGACATGTTGCTCGGATGCTATTTCGGCGGAGTAAAGTACAATTGCGAAGACATTTTCCACGCAATCATAACTGACAGCGGTTTATGCTGTGTCTTCAATATGGTGCATAGCGACTTCTTACTCAAAAAGTTAAGTTCTAAACAAACATATTAATTTAAACAATTCTGAATTTTCTACAATTTCAAGTGCATATTTCATTTAGACCGGTGCCGTGCGTTAATTGCAAAAACGCCAAACCGAATGGCACTGTTTATGTTGATTGGACCCCTGAAAAAGGATATCCTGCAAACTTACCCGAAAGTTATATTCCAATGCCTTCTGCTGGCACAGGCGAGTCTTTGGGATTGTCGGTAACTCTGGACGTTGAAGCAGACTATTATTATTGCTCTTCTGAGAACAGTGTCGGCTTCAAAATGTTACTACATAATCCACTTGAGTTGCCCGATATGCGTGAGATCGGCTTATTACTGTCACCCGGACGAGAAACTAAAGTGCGAATTAAAGCTGTTAAAACCGAATCGGAAAAGCATTTGCGTTCCATGAATAAGAAAAATCGCTTATGTTTCTTTGAGGATGAATATAATTTAAAGAATTACAAGGTGTATACGCAACGGAATTGTGAGTTAGAATGCTTTATGAATATGTTACTGGCCTATTGTGGGTGTGTCACTCATTATGCGCCCACTGCTTTTGCTAATCAAACCGTATGCAGCATATATGAGTTATCCTGCGTCAATCGTGTTCAGCAGCAATCCATGGTGGATAAGAATGGTAACGGATGTCCGGAAATCTGTTGGCCCAGTTGCTATGATCTCTCATACCTGCCGGACTTCTTCACTACACCACTGGCACATGCGCGATTCCAAAACTCGAACCAATTTAGTAAGAATATGAGTAGTATTTATATGGAAAAAAATATTGCCGTCGTAAATGTTTATTTCAAAGAGAGCTGGTACCGAAGCAGCAAGCAGAATGAATATATTGGAATAACCGATTTTTTATGTAATTTTAAAACCTAAATGTATTGAGTGTTCTTAACAAGCAATTGATTTCTTTTGTTTTTGTATTTCACTTCACAGCAAGTGTTGGCGGTATAATTGGGCTTTTCTTTGGATTTAGTTTCATATCCTTGGCTGAAGTCATTTACTACTTTGTTTTGAAACCCGCTCGAATAATTATTGTGGCAGCTGCGACGAAACGAAAAATGCTTAGAAATAAGAAGAAGTTGAACAAATTGGCGTTGTTCGCAAACGCGTCTACGGATAAGGCAGATTTAATTGAGGAAAGGAAACTTTGGAATTACGAAGCTATAGATATTTTTCTAGTTTCCAAAAAGAAGAATTCGCAATATTCCAGCGGCCTAGGGAGGCCTGGCATAGAATATACCTCTTGAAAGCAAAATTAAATATAATTTTGGGTATTTTAAAATATATGTAATTAACAAAATGTTATTAAGATATAATATAAAAATGTCCGGAAGCTATATGCTATAGTAATCCGGCCTGAAAATTTTTTCGGAGATTATATTATTACTTAAGCAGTAATCCATGCCAAATTTCGTGAAGATCTCGCGTTAAATGCGAAAGTTCTCACACAAGCCCTTGATTACGATCGTTCAGTTATGTCGTATAAGCTATAGTTAACCGATCTGAACAATTTCTTCGGAGACTACATTGTAGCTGTGTTAACTTTTGTGAAAATACATTGTGAAATGCGAAAGTTCTCCACACCGATCTTAACAATTTCTTCGAAAATTGCATTGTTGTCTTAGAAAATAATCTTTACCAAATTTTGTAAAGATACATTGTCAAATGTGAAAGTTTTACATACAAGAAGTTGATTCCGATTGTTTAGTTTGTATGGCAGCTATATGTTATAGTTGTCCGATATCGGCAGTTCCGACAAATGAGCAGCTTCTTGAAGAGAAAATAACGTTGGCAAAATTTCAAAACGATATCTTAAAAACTGAGAGACTAGTTCGTGTATATACAGACAGACGGACATGGCTAAATCGACTCAGCTCACCATACCGATCGTTTATATATATTCTTTATGGGGTCTCCGACACTTCCTTCTGTGTGTTATAAACTTCGTGACAAACTTAATATACCCTGTTCAGGGTATAAAAAAAAAGAACGTAAATTTTTATTGATAATTAATAATAAATATTCCTTAAAAAACAAATAAATTCTATAAAATATACACACCTTTTCAATAATATGATACGAAAGTAAAATATGGTGCAGTTTTAAATATTTGTAAGGAAAGTATTTAAAAATTAAATATAAAAGTGTTGAAACACAGCAATTTTTTCTTCAACCATTCTGTTACCTTAAGGTCATCTCGTCACCTTTTTTTGTTATTTTTTCTTATATAGTACTTCATAATAGTCACAAGATTTTTGGTTTTTCTTTTACGAATTCCTGCATTGATTGAAATCGCTTTGAAAAAGTGCAAACTATTTTTTTATAATTTGGCAGGAAACATAGCAGAATCAAAACTAACTTGTGGGCAACATAAGGCCATTCAGTGAGGAAAATAATATTTTCTCCAAATATAAAACGAAGCATAAGGAATTTCTATTATACCTTGCCTCGATTTGAAACGAGCTATTTAATTAAATCTTAATTTATTTGCATCAGTAAGTGGTGAAAGGAAGTGGAAAAAAATTATGTGGTTCATGTAAATATTTTTATTTTACAAAATAATATGTAAGTTGTACATAAACTGCCGTAATTACAATGCATCTAGTAATATTTAGCAAATAATGACAATATAAAATATTAAAAAAGCTTAATTGTAATCACTACCAGATGCAGAATTGTCATATGCATTTGAGCTCACGTCTGAGGTATCGATAGTGCATGCAAACCCGTTGATTTGTCTCTGATGACAATGTGCTACTTTTTTTCGGCGGATCTAAACTGAAACTAGAAATAAGTGGGTTTGAGGATACCAGCATCATGGTATTTTCTTTATCGATATCTTTTGATATTGTTATTGCCGGATTCCTGAGCTTCCTCAGAGAGTTGTCCAATCTGCAATGGTGCCCATTTAATAATAAGGTACCCGCGAATTAGTACTACATGAATCGACGTTGGCATGCAGTACCATGGATATTTTTCAACTAACTTTTTTGCGGTAGCGAAGCAATATTCTTTGAACAAATTGCCGTTGACTGCAAAATCACGTGACAAAACTTTTAATATGACATGAGCACGACTATTGCAAAAGAAACCAGCTGGCCGTATTTCCATCATTTCAGTTTCCACCTCCTCCAACTTTCGGAGAATCAACAATGGGCCCAACCCGCTATTTGAAACTCTGCTGTATGGCTTTTTTCGAGTTACAATCACTGATCACTGTCCTCTTGAGTATGTGCTTGGCATGTTTTATTTTCTAGTTTGTACCCCAAACGCAAATTCTCTTCATCAACCGGCAATGACAGAATCTGGTCAAATTTGTTAAATTGCGAGGATGTTGTTTTACACAAATAGCAACGAATGCACCGCATCAAGGTATCGGTGACATTATTACGAACTTTTTTATCAATCATTGTAAATATTAATTTGTATGATATACATATTTCTTTGCCATCTCTTGTTGTTTGATATAGAAAAAGCATCACTATTTGATTTTCAACAGAGTGTACTCTATCTTGATTGAGCTACTAAATCGAGGAGAAGAGGGTTTTGGATTCTGCCAAACCAATACATTTTGATTATAATTACTCGTCAACTGCAACGGCACAAGTGATGTTAGGAGAATATTTAAGTCTGATGTGTTTTCATTCTCAAATTTCTGTTTATATTGACTTTGACCAGAAGATCCGTCAAACCCATACTTAATAATTAGTTGTAAGTTTTTGACGTGATTTTCTGGTAAAATTTTAATTCATCGCATTGCACATCCAAAATTCTGCATATCAAGTAGAAAGTTCAAGGGTCTCCAACGCAACGCGAAATGAAAACGGACATTAAAATACAGTGATGCCTCGTGACATGATATTTTGCGAAATATCAATAAATGATATTTTGGCCGACACAAAAACCATTGGTTGATCACCCATCGCTTTTAATCTCATAACTTTTAACGTCAGCAAAGGTAAATTATCAACGAAAAAATTTGGTTATACTTGTACATTCTCTTGTTTGACGGATGATTTTAACTTAGTTTAAGCTTTAACTTGATAATGTCAAAAACAAAATTTCGTTTTCTGGCCAGCTTTTCAGGAAAATCGGCAACAGTGTGTCGGTGAGTATTTTGATTGATTTCGATGAAGTATTATCTGATTCAGCACACTTGTAGTCTCACAGAAAGCCAAATACAGCAGACATTAATTGAAGATATTGTGAATATTGATAAGTCTAGTAATTTTGAGGACGATGAGAATGTATTGAAAGATTTGCCAGATGGCGAATATTCAGAAAAATATGATATATTGATGGTAGAGTAGAAGGCAGTACTGCTGCAGCTTATATAACATTCATGTGTACTTTTCACCCACAGCAACCAATAGCACTAGAGCCTGAATAGAAAATATAATTCAACGACACCCCGGGTATAGTATATTCAGTTCACCGAATATAAAATAAACGTTTGACCTGTGCTAGAGTTTACCAACATCGAGGGAGCTAAAAAAAATCGGAGAGAAATATAAACCAATTGATGAAAGAGAAGAGAATGGATTTTTGGGTATTCTGATATAAGGAGGTACTTCAAATGGTACATTTATACAATATGTACTTGTTAACTAATAATATAGAAACTGGTGTTTATCGGCCGTACGGGGAAAGTTTCAGTAGTCTTTGGGATGAAGTTCATAGTCGATTAATATTTTGCTTTGTAATGTCACAAACAAGGTTTTTGGAAGTAAGTTGTGTGCTGAGGTTCGTGAAGGGGTCAGTAGGGTAATCTGGCCTGTTTTTTTGACATTTGTTTTCTAATAGAAATTTTTATTCTACAATAGAACTATTTGCACATACCATGAGGTATATCGTGGAGTGTATAAACAAATTTTTTCGGAATTTTTTGATGTCATCTCTCGGACAAATGGCTGGGTGAATGAGATACGCATTTTCACTGGCGGACACGATTTCTCATGTTTGGATCATCTGAAACACAAAAACCCAATTTATTCTTAAAAAGTACGTGAATGATTATCGTCCCTACTAGAATCCAGAAAAATTGTTAATAAATAAAAAAGAAATTAACGTTTTTTTTTTAAGTTTTTTCCATGTTTTTTTACAAAAATTTTGTCATAACATTGTTAATAAATTATACATAGATATGAATATAGTAAGTTATTAAAAAAGAAATTAAGCAAATCGGTTGAGTAGTTCGACCGGAATCATATCCGCCAGCTTAAAAAAGTGTGTTTTGAGGAAAACGTGTTTAAAGTGTGAGGTGTGCACTCCGAGCTCTCCGAACGTCGGGCCGTATTATTATTTGTGGACCTTTTTCGAAACCTTCAAATCGTAAAGTGGGTTTCTACATCGCAGAGCGAGAGTATATGATAAACTTGCTCCAATTCGGGATTTTTACGAGAAATGGGTAGCTAACTTATCATTATTGTTTGTTCCGTATGAAAATGTAACAGTCGATGAACGTTTAATTCCTTTTAGAGGCAGATGTCCGTTATTACCTTACATTGCTAAGTTAGACAAGTAAATACGGGATAAAGGCATGGGTAGCTGCGGATAGACGACCAAATTTTGTCTAATTATACTCTCGCAACAAAGTTGCTAAAGAGAGTATTATAGTTTTGTTCACATAACGGTTGTTTGTAAGTCCTAAAACTAAAAGAGTCAGATATAG